CGTCTGCTTCCCTTCAGCCGGCTGTTAATCTCAGTGAGAACTGGACTTGGATAAAATGGTGCATTAACCGCTGCACGACTGCAGGAGCCGTCTGCGTGTTCGTGCTGCTGTGGAGGATTTTGTTGGAGCACTTTCCCTGTTTTTGTCCCGTCACATGCAGGCAGTCATCTGTTTGGGGAAAACAGCATTAAGCTCATTAGCAGGAAGAAGCGGACGTTTTCAGCACGTCCTTAATGTCATTCGGCTTCATTTGGTTTAATCGGCCGATTGCTGCTGGCTCGAGCTTTCTGACTTGCACAACAGTCAAGTTTCCTGTCTGTGTGCTGATGTTGTGTAACCAGAGGTTTGAAAACATCTGTCATATTTGACATTTTAGAGTATTTTTGGATGGTTAGTCGTGTTGCTGAAACCTCCTCCTCCTGTGAAAGCTGAGAAAACCTCCTCACGTCTCTTCACAGCAAATCGTCCGATGCTTTACTTCCTGTCACCATTCCTCTGACCTTTTCTTTGTCATCTGCTATCAGTTAAAGAAACGTCCGGCCTTTAACACGTGTTTACGTAACTTTGAGAGCTTGTTCAGTTAGCACACGGTTCTCACGTCCAGACTTCCTCTTTAACAAACAGTAACAAACATGTTTGATTCATGTTGTCAGTGCGGTGAATTTTATGCTCTTTTATATTCATAAAACTTCTGTTTGGTGAAATCATTACAGCACGAGCAAAGATTGCAATTTATAGAAAGTGAGATGATCGAATTATTGTAGAACAAAGTCTAATTCTGAAGCCATCGATGCTCCGTTACCTCATAAATGCTGAGAGCTGAACAGCTGATCGTTTTATTGGCGCTAAAAGAATTTGAATCGTTTTAACTGTTTGTTTGGTTTTTGTGAGCAGCAGAAACATTGATGGTGAAGCTGTGATGAAGGCTTCTTGTACCTGGAGAGGGTGTAAACTGCTAACGTGGTGCCCAGTAAGCTAAAACAGCTCCTGGCCTCCTGCAGCAGGGACTGAGTGTGAACCACAGCCTGCAGGTCTGATGAAGGCGTGGTATTGATGGCATCCGATTGCACAGAGGCTGTTAAACGCTGTAAGCTATGTGAACTTCTATGCACGGCTGCTCCTTTTTGAATAAAAGCGTTGGGCGAAGAAGCCCCCTGTGGGCGTCCACGTTTCTCTCTTTAACGCTCGGGAGCTGTGATGAAGATTTTATCCCGTCACCTGAGGCGTAGAGACCTATTTTTGGCTTTAGAAATCTCCTCCTCAGTTTGTATCGGCGATGATATCTCTCTCTGTTCTCGGTCTTTTCCCTCTGAGCTTGCATAAACTCACTTTCTGCTGCTTTCTCTCGTTTCTTCCACAGATGTACCTTCTTCTTCTTCTAAAGCTCAGCCTCATCCTCTGATGCAATTCCCTACAGGCAAGTCCTCTCTGCTCGTCTCTTTCCCCGTCTCGGTCATTTATTTTCCCCTTCAGTTCTTTATTCTTCACTCTTTGTTTTAAAATAACTCATCGCATGGAAGAAGTTGTAGATTTTTTACGTCACGTGAGCATTTACACGGGATGCTTGCCGTGGGTTTGTTAAATCTGACTTTGCCTGTGTTTGTGTTGCATTGTGACTCACATGTGACTGTTGTAGAGTAGACTGACCTGAACTTGTACGAGTAGCTTGTAGACGAATAATGATTCTCCTCAGGTTTGTGCATTTGTTGAATTATATTTTGAAAAACTTAATTGAGAGGAATCATTATCTGTGGTCACCTAGCAGTTTGTTTGACACTCTGGGCATGGTTTATTGGCGCCAGACCTGGGGAAACATTTATTGCACCACCAAACGTCAAACCAAGGTGGTTTACCACCAGACAAATGTGGGCAAACCTGACTGTGGATGGTAGTCGTGTAAGTCCAGTTTATTCCCAAAGAAACAGACCCCAGCTATAAAAGTCGTTTCTTTCCCTACTTTAGGTGGGTTTAAATTCATATTTCCAGCACGCAAAGAATTTGTTTTATGCCACTTAGGAAATAAGCCAACAGTCATGCAGTTAG